ATTTACTAAAGGTTGACATTCCTAATTGTATTTTATTTATTTACTAAAGGTTGACATTCCTAATTGTATTTTATTTATTTACTAAAGGTTGACATTCCTAATTGTATTTTATTTATTTACTAAAGGTTGACATTCCTAATTGTATTTTTATTTATTTACTAAAGGTTGACATTCCTAATTGTATTTTTATTTATTTACTAAAGGTTGACATTCCTAATTGTATTTTTATTTATTTACTAAAGGTTAACATTCCTAATTTATTTGTTCTGTTCGAAGTTTGATATTATTAATTTCGTTCAAAAGTGATCTAAAATCATGATTACGACATATTTGTTATTACTGCCGAAAATAAGTAAGTGAGGGGATGATGGTTAAATTCTACGAGGACAGCAACCTGACCAAACTTCAATACCAAATAAATCAAGGGACGCGAGCAAACGACTATACTTACTCATTTGGAAACAAGTGTAAACCAGGGTTAACTCAATCATTTCGTCACTTTTCATTCTGCTGTCACTCACGTAGAACTCTAATGTAACTGTATTCTTCCCGGGCGAAGAAAAAAACACAAGTTGGTCACTTTCCGAATAATGCAGCTTTCCACAAATTTCATGGTTTGATTTACCGTCTAGAACTTTCACGAAATCTAAACACTTTCTGGTACCACTAGAATTAGTTGATCTTACCCGTAAAAAAATATCTAAAAATGTTATAAAGACACGATTGCTTGCAGCAGTTGATATCGTGACGTTACAGTGTAATCCGGGAAAATGTTTTGACAGTTTTAGCTTTCCATAACTCAAGCTTCCCACATCTAGCGATGAACGACTGCTGACACTACACATATCTCCAACATAAGCTGTAAAAGAAATAATAAATCGGTTAGTAGAAGAGCTTTGATTTTATACTAGGGTTACCAGAGTGAAAAACTGAGACATTATTTATTTATTCCATACTAGGGTTACCAGAGTGAAAAACTGAGACATTATTTATTTATTCCATACTAGGGTTGCCAGAGTGAAAAACTGAGACATTACGTATTTATTCCATACTAGGGTTACCAGAGTGAAAAACTGAGACATTATTTATTTATTCCATACTAGGGTTACCAGAGTGAAAAACTGAGACATTATTTAACACTGTAACAGCTCTGAAATTACTTGAATTTCAAGCAAACATACTCGAAAAGTAGGATTGACTGTCACTTTATAACGTCCCCACGACTGAAAGAACGCGAATATTTGGTGACGGGATTCGAATCCACGACCCGCAGATTACGAGTCAAACGTCTTAACCATCAGCTTTGAAACATTTTTAAATTACAATAACATACCTTTTACATTTGGTAAATAATCTGATGTTTGTTGAATAGCGCTGTAAAACTACAGATAAAGTTTATTAAAAGCTTATCAAGAGTAATAAATAATACAGAATATAAACACCGTGCCTAAATTGTCTTGAACCAACCCAAAAAAATATGTCGCTTCTTTGCTTTCATTTTTCGCGGCAGGCAGGTCTTAAAAAATCTCAATTCCTGTGGCTGTATTTTTTTTTAAAACTGAGTAAATGTTATTGCTTTTTAAAGTTTCGTGTGTGTGTGTGTTTGAAAATATACAGGGTGCTCACAAACTGTTCGTGAAATTTGAAAAAACATAAAGTCAAAATTTATGCATTTGTATTCCCACTATATGAACTTATCTAAGAAACCTTTCAGTGCTCCCGATGAGCCAACGGGTTGTTTTCCGGACTTACAAAATTAAAATCCAGGGTTCGAGTTTCTGAGGTGTAGGTTTGCGCTAGAAATCAAATAACAACAACCAGTCATCTTTCACAATTGTAGTTCTTCGGATGTAGTGCTTTGAACTGTTAACGTGTTTTATTATTAT